ATTTATTTATTATAAATTTGTATAAAAATATATAATAATATATTTATGAGAGTGTTTGCACTCTTAAAAGCTCCTAGACTGATCCTAGTGTTCACATCGAAATAGACTTATTAATATCATAATATTAATATGATAAAATGATAAAATTCTAGATTCCTTTATTATATATTTACTTATATTTATTAATTCTCTCTATATTTATTATTTATTTGTATAGAAATTTATAATAAATGTATTTGTTAGAGCATTTGTAGGACACTTTTAGTCCTGTCCTGTGTAGTTGTGCAGAGGACTTGATGAGACCCACTCATGGCAAGATAACTTCCAGCCTGGGGACACTTAAGAGATGAAAATCTTGACTGTGTTGGAACAAGAGGGAAAAAATTCCCGGTGGTTTTGTTGTCAGTTTTTAAACCAGATGTGCCCGATGTGTCCACCCAGTGGCATTGCTGGTCAGTCCCTTTTGGGATCGGTGGCCAGCAGGTGCCTCTCTGACACAAACTGGGCTGATGTCGCTGAAAAATCAGAACTGGGGGACACAACCCAGAGATTTTGGGGTTTTTTACCTGAGTGTGTGCAATAAATAGTGATGTCAGTGACAGTTCAAGTCCCACAGTGATGGAGGTGCTGGTTGTGTCCCACAGTGATGGAGGTGCTGGTTGTGTCCCACAGGTTGATGGAGGTGATGGTTGTGTCCCACAGGTTCATGTAGGTGATGGTTGTGTCCCACAGGTTCATGTAGGTGATGGCTGTGTCCCACAGTTGATGGTTGTGTCCCACAGTGATGGAGGTGATGGTTGTGTCCCACAGTGATGGAGGTGATGGTTGTGTCCCACAGTGATGGAGGTGCTGGTTGTGTCCCACAGTTGATGGTTGTGTCCCACGTTGATGGTTGTGTCCCACAGTGATGGAGGTGATGGTTGTGTCCCACAGTTGATGGTTGTGTCCCACAGTTGATGTAGGTGATGGTTGTGTCCCACAGTGATGGAGGTGCTGGTTGTGTCCCACAGTGATGGAGGTGATGGTTGTGTCCCACAGTTGATGGAGGTGCTGGTTGTGTCCCACAGTGATGGAGGTGATGGCTGTGTCCCACAGTTGATGGTTGTGTCCCACAGTTGATGGCTGTGTCCCACAGTTGATGGTTGTGTCCCACAGTTGATGGTTGTGTCCCACAGTTGATGGTTGTGTCCCACAGTTGATGGAGGTGATGGCTGTGTCCCACAGTTGATGGCTGTGTCCCACAGTTGATGGTTGTGT